ACCCCCCCCCCCCCCCCTCCTTCCCCCTCAACAACAAAAACACGATTTAGCTGATATCTTCGGCATAGTACAGAGGACAACAACAACTGAAATATCCTCTGACGACCACAGGGCAATACAAAAAAATAACAACGTGAAGTTGAAATTCTAATTTACAAAAGTAGCCGCTTCGGCGGAGATTTTCATTGGACTACACAACTACAGAAGACATTGATCTAGCTCAGAAATACTCAGAATTGTAATGTTCTATCTGACATTTTTTACTGTTTTCAATTACTAAGACCAACAAGGTCAGAAATCAAATGTTCTACCTGCTCTTTGAAAGTCGTCAGATTATTGGGAGTCGTTTTCAGATATTCAAGGAACTGTATTTGGAAAAGCTTGGCATGATGTGAAACTCAAAATCTTTGACCTAAAATTTTTCAAAACTAGGTACTGAGCAGACAGAACTTTGTAATTCTGAGGTAGCGGCTAGCACCAACTGAAGACACTGTGCTAGGCGCAGATCTATGGCCAAAAGTGACTGACAGTCGACACCAGCCGGGCGACGTCTCATCACAACGACAAAATGTCTCGATAATATATTTTTGCGCTTGCAAATCGACTTCATATTTATTCTGTGCAAGTTTAAAGAGCTGAATCATTACATCACTGACTTTTCTATCTTAATTTTATTTTCGGGGGCTTTTTTTTGTTAGTTTTTTTTGGGGGGGAGTCTGTGTGTGTATGTGGTGTGTATGTGTGTGTGTGTGACTTTTTTGGCTTTGTATTTGTGTGAGTATCGTGTGTGTGTGTGTGTGTGTGTGTGTGTGTGTGTGTGTGTGTGTGTGTGTGTGTGCGTGTGTGTGTGTGTGTGTGTTAGGACAAAAAGTTAGTACAATAACGGCCGCATTTCACCAGGAACATAATATGTACTGGTATATTGGAACAATAGAAACCTTGACATCTTACAGACGGAGAAGAACAAAGTCTGAAATCTAGAAATCAGATGTGAAGAAATAGGCTACTATGATCAGTTGCTAGGATGACGCCGCATTTCGCCGACAACAAACTAGGACTATTGGAGTGTGATACTGAACAAAGACCCAAAAAAATGGAACAATAGAAGTACGAGACTGAACAAACACGTATTTAGACTCGGACAATAGAAGAAGGTACTGAATAAAGAAAAAAGAAACTGACAGAAGGACGTACACAAACTCTCTGTGACTTGGGGCTCTTTTTAAATTTTTTAAATACTGCCACATAGTTGTTGTTTTTTAAATTTTAGTACTCGCAACTGCACAAGGTCATATGAGCGCCAGAAGATTAGAGGGGCTACAAGAGAGTAACAAACATGAAAAAGAAGAAGGGGAGATAAGGACGACAGATGTTTGAAGGGAAAGAAGAAGCAAACCACACCAGAGCACCCGCCAACCACCCACTCCACATAGTTTAGATTTCAAGTTTTGGGAATCTGTTTCACTGCTGTAACGTACGATTATTTATAGGAAGCGCTTATTTGGATAAAGTGAAAAGCGAGTGTATATTACTGTTGTTGTTGTTTTGTTGTTTTTTATTGTTGTTTTGGTGGTTTTTTTGCCTTTTGTTTCTTTTTTTTGGGGGGGGGGCTTGGTTGTTGTTTTGGGGGGGGGGGTAGTTGGGTTATCTTTGTTGTTGTTGTTGTGCTTGTTGTAGTTGTAGTTGTTGTTGTTGTTGCTGTTAGTTTAGTTTGGGGTTGTTGTTGGGTTTGTTTGTCATAGTTTGTTGTGGGGGGGGGGGGGCTGCCGGATGTTTTGTTGCTGTCGTTTGTTTGTTTTTTTCTTTCTTTTTTTTAGGGAGCTTTTGTGTATGTTGTTGTTGTTGTTTTTGGAGGGTTTCGGGGCGGTGGTGAGATTTCTATCTATCTATCTATCTATCTATCTATCTATCTATCTATCTATCTATCTATCTATCTATCTACATAGCTAGCCAGCTAGCTAACCCCCCCCCCCCCCCCTCTCTCTCTCTCTCTCTCTCTCTCTCTCTCTCTCTCTCTCTCTCTCTCTCTCTCTCTCTCTCTCTCAAGGTCACACTAATTGTTGTCAACATCATGTGTTCCAGCCTCTGAGGTGGAGAAGGCGGAGCTGACGTTAGAATCAACGAGACGGAACTTAGAAACCGCAAAGTAAGTCACTACTTCTTCTAACGTGTTCTTGTATAACCTCTTTGTTTTATAAAGGATTTTGTGATTGGGCAAAGTGCTAATTTTGCAGTTTATAAGAGTGATTCGAATCGACTTTGCGAGACAGGAGAAAACGTTCGGAAGGTAGAAAGGGGACGAGGCAATAATAATATTCCTTTTTATCTTGTTGTGTGTGGTGTAGGCTAGTGGGTTTTTTGTTGTGGTTTTTTTTGTGGGTTTTTTTTTTT